TGTGATTCAGCAGAATTAATGCATATCTAAAGGTATTTAATTATTCCCAATGATAAATTAGCACAGGGAAATGTAAATAGCTATGTCAGAATTTGAATGTAATTTGACCGAAGATAGAGTGGAACTTAGATATTTGCATTTATACAAACCAGCATGATTTACTAGGCCTGGGGTAGGGACTGGCCAAGGCAGCCATGTTTGGAGTATGTGTTCTTGTCTTCTCTTCCTCCTTTGTAAGCCTCACTGGGTCAAGAAAATACCTTCTCCAAGTGGTCCATTCACAGGTTGTCCCACGTCTGCTTTAAAATGAGCTGGGCCGGGAAACGATCTTGGCATTCTGAACTTAAAATACTGAGACAGAGAGGAAGTTAGCTGCAGGTACAGGACTGGAAGTAATGCACCAAGAGATGCCACGAAGGAAGAGTCCAGGCTGTCGACACGCGGGGGCAGAAGCCAGAGAGAAGCAGAGGGGCCCCCAGCGAGAGGAGAGAAGCTGGCAGGGCTCAAAGAGCCAAGGAGTGGCCTTGGGTTCCCAGGAGTTCTCTGGGTCCGAAAATCTAAGTTACAGAAGTCTTCATGGTGGATCTCCATTGACTTGAACATACTTGAAGAAGTCTCTGTTCTTTACTGTTAAAACTACCACGCTCCACGGATCAGTGCACAAAAATCTCCTGAAGCATCATGGTAAGCTCCCTGAGGAGGGGGGCTCCATCTGAGTCATTTGTTACTCTGTCTCCAGCACCTCCCCTTCCAAAGTGACAGGCATGAGCTAGATTAGGAAATGTTTGTTCAGTTAAGAAATTCACTCTCTGATCCATCGAGGCATAGCTGTCGAATAATTTTTAAGTCTTTTGTTTGCATTTCAGCTTGTAAAACTACATTATACGTGACTGGGAGAAGACGCTAAAAGCTTGCAAAGAAATTTTCAATTAGCATTAATACTAACTTTTCATCAGCTGGCTTTTAACTTTAGACTATTGTTATCTGTATGAAATGGTTATCAAAGTAGTACTTTAATGAAGTACAGATCTTCTAAAACTAGGCGCCATATGTCCTACTTAGAGCTGTAGGACTCTGCTTTTCCCCCGGTTACATTATTATATATTTATCATATGAAAGTAGACCTTGTATATACAGATGGCAATATTGGCTCTTACACCTATTTTTGAGTTATTCTAGTGATAGATTTGTGCTGACCATCCATGGTGTTTCTTTTCTTATCTCTTATGTAACCAGAAATAATGGTTCTAAGAGAGAACTAAATACAATTAGAACATGCTGTCTGTGGCCAAGGAAACAAGCAAAGCAAAGCTGATTCTTCAAATTAGAATACTACCCCACAACCACAGGCGAGGACATTGATGCTGGTGAAAGAAGCTCATTCTCACATGAACCTGCACCTGTCGGAGGTCATCCATGTGACCTGGCCTAGAAATAGTCGCAAGGGAGGCTTTAAGACATCAAGGGCAACTCTGTCTCCAACTCAACTCCCTTAATGGAAAATAATTGATGCTCTCAGATGATCTATACAAAATAGACAAAGTTAAGTAACATGTGCCTAAAACCCAAACCAGAATGTAGTTGGAACAACCATATTCTCAAATATATTTATAATACTTAAGATTTTACTGTTTTTGTATAGAAGATTTGAAATAAAGTGGATGTGAACAAAATAGAGATTAAGAACACAAAGATGACCGCTAGTGAAGGTAGCTTGAGTTTTTAGGGTCCTTGAACCACATTGGCTATTATTGTTAAGTAATAAGCAAATGTTTTCAGTTAAAGCATAGAATATTGTCTGTAATTATTGTGTGCCTATTATATACCCATTGTTTTGCATGTTAATATGGCTACTCCTTCTGAAAAACCTAGGACTTATTCTCTATAATTCTGAGTGTTTTTGCATTTGAGTAACTTAACACTGGCTATGCCGCTAACAAGCCAGTTACAGTTAGAATCTAGACATTGTTGACTCATCACTACATCCTTTCCACTCAATTACATTGTCTTTCATAATAGTTGAAGCAAAGAAAATAAAAAAGTAATCGGCTGTGGGTTTTTGTTTTTTTTTTCCTGTTGTGAGAACTTTTCTCCATGTGAGAACAGAGGGGGAATTCAGGCCTAATAGCTGATTATGTTTTAAGTGGAAAGCAAAACTTTAACCTTAAATTATGTCATAGATGCTTGCAAAGAAGACTTGAAGGTGTGAATAGAGTAAGGGTGCATCTTCATTGCACTCAAATCTGTGGCTACCTTCAAAGATTCCAACTTAGAATCTTTCTTTTTTAATTTCTCTCTCTCTGTCTTTTGCTTTCTTTTTTTTTTTTGAGTCGGGATCTCACTCTGTCACCCAGCCTGGGGAGCAGTGGCATGATCATGGCTCACAGCAGCGGCAACTTCTTGGACTCAAGAGATCCTTCCACCTCAGCATCTCACCACAGACGCACATACCACCACGCCCAGCTAAGTTTTGAGTTTTTTGTAGAGACAAGGTCTCACTGTGTTGTCCAAGGTGGTCTCGAGCTCCTGGACTCATGCAGTCTGCCTACCACGGCCTCCCAAAGTGCTGGGATTACAGGTGTGAGCCTCTGCTCCCGGCCCCCAATTTAGAGTCATTCTTTGTGGAAACTCAATTTAGAGTCATTCTTCGTGGAAACTCAAGAAATCAAATCCATGGGGAATACCAATGAATCAGCACTAAAGTAGTTATTTGGGTTTACATAGACAGACATAAAGAGCTACTACCTGACCGAGGCCTATAAAACTCACGCTTACAAGTTGGCATCTGAAACTGGAAGCCAGGCGTCAGTTGAAGCAGTCTTCTCGATGCACAAATACAAAAATGGCAAATCAAAGCCTGGGTGGAAGATAGGTATCCCTCTTGTTCGGAATAAAAATTCATAGGAAGGGTGAATGAGACATGGCTTAAGGATCTGAGTGTGAGTCGTCTGCCTGTGAGACAGCCGACTTCAGTCACAGAAGAAGGGCAGGAGTGGTATGGTAGTGGGATTGGATACAGGGGAAGGGTCTGCACAGATGCCATGCTGCTCTAGAGGTGGAAACCAGGGCTAGTAAGTGGAAATGACAGAGAGGCCAGTTTGTGGTAAAAACGGAAAGGGCTGCTTTGGGAGATAGTCAGGGTCTAGGCACATTTGAAGCACCCACTCAAGGCTTGAAGAACCACCACCATCCAGAAAGCTCTGTGTTGCAACAGGCAGCGATGGCATATAGCATTGAACTCCTTGGATCTCAGCTGAAGCATGGTGTTTACAGGTCTTGCGTCCTTTACTATTCTTGCAATATTTTGACTATGAACAATTATGATTTAAGTGATCCTCTCCACCCAGTTTTGTGTGGTTTTTTTTTTTTTTTTTTTTTTTTTTCCAACTTCTAAAGGTGATAGCGGCCAGGCGCAGTGGCTCAGCTGGTAATCCCAGCACTTTGGGAGGCCGAGGTGAGTGGATTGCCTGAGCCCGTGGGTTCGAGACCAGCCCAGGCAACTTGGCAAGACTTTGTCTCTACAGTAAATTTTTTAAAAAAATTAGCCAGGCATGGTAGTGCACACCAGTGGTTCCAGCTCCTTGGAAGGCTGAGGCAGAAGGATCGCTGGAGCCCAGCAGGTCGACACTGGGTGGCCATGAGCATGCCACTGCATTCCAGCCTGGGCAGCAGAGTGAGACTCCAACTCAAAAAAACAAAAAACAACAAAAAAAAAAAACCTTAATATCTGGCTGCTTTTAAGTAGCATGTGCTTTGGTCCTGTGAATTTGATTGTTGGTTCAGATTCTTATTGTTGTTACGTTATTTTGGCAACAAAATAAGTGAAGATTCTGCTTTGTGGTTTTATATTTTTATTAGAAAAATTAAGCTTTCATTTATAGCAGCATAAATTTACAGAGAAATATTTTTTAGTGTTAGACCCACTGTCCGGTGTAACTGCTCACTTAACAACAGGCTAAGAAAATACTTGGAAATAAAAAAGAAAACATGAACTACCCATTTTCTTCTTAGTGTACACATGCTTAATGGTTTTGCTTTAAGGCACATGCTATGAAGTCAGCAATTGTTGTCTCCGTGCCACAAGTTCAATGTCTCTGGACCCCAGAGTAAGTAGTAGTAGTTAATAAAAATCTCAGCAGTATTCTTTTCAAATCAAATAATCATGGTGTACTCTATAATTTTATTCTTGGAAGCCTGAAGAGTATTTACAACACGCCGTCATTCTGGGATCAGGCTAGTGGGGGAAAACGGAAAAACATCCAAACATCCTTGCATGGCAATGATGGCATTACTGGTGTGTTTAATAAAACCTTTATTGGTACATTTTCCGGTGTGGTGGCATTGGCAGAAACCATCCCCCCTTGGATTTGGAACTCAGCGGCTGATGAAATATAGTAAACATTCATTTGGAATGGGCTGCCAGTTTTGGAAAGCCAGGTGACATTTTATTATATTTGCACCGAGCAGGGGCTGCGTCCCATGCTGCCGTAGTTTCCGCTGTCAGAGGCTTAGCTGGCATTATGGGGAAAAAAAAAAAAAAAATGGCAGGCCTGAGAATCTCATCCCCTGAAATGAAAGTCGAATGCCAAATTGAAATTCCTGTAGGATTTCCGATAGCAATGGGGGAATTGAGAAGCCCACAATTAAGCATATGGGCATTAAGATAATTGTCAGATCTGTTGGCGGACATGATAGAAGACAGATGGGTACGAATCAGTGTGCTCCACTGCGGCACCCTGGGAGACAATTTGACGTTTTACCTGCCTGAGCTCCTCGGCCATGTTTGTCACTGGAAGTAGCGCTCGGCATCTCGCTGAGTGTCAAGTGTTCTCGCAGGCAGCTCCAGGTGCTTGTGCGGTCCTTCGGCGCCCTCTAGTGAATTGCACTTGGGAGTGTTGCCTTCCAGAGGCCGGTCTTCTTCTCCGGGCCCTGCAGCCCCTGGAAGTCGCCGGGGCCCCTTCGGTGCCAGCTCAACTCTGGGGTTCCTCTCACCCTTCCAGGTGGGGGCCCATCGCGAAGACGGCGTGGCCCTGAGAGGCAGCCATTCCCTCCTGCCCAACCAGGTTCCGGTCCCACAGCTCCCGGTCCAGTCTGCGACTTCTCCGGACCTGAACCCGCCCCAGGACCCTTACAGAGGTAGGTCTGCCCCAGAGGGGCCCTTCTGACCTCCGCTGTAGCCACAGGCCCCGGGGAGGCACTGGCAGCAATCTCAGAATCCAGTTCGGGGCGCAGAGGGTAAGTGCGTGGCAAGGACGTGATGGGACTTAGCCCAGGAGTCGTGTTTCTTGGGTGGCTGCCTTGCTCAAGCGTCCTTTGAAATCCGGATGCTGTTTCAGCAGGGAGTGAGGCAACACTGATGGGAGGAGATTTCCTTTGACCTGTTCCCACATTTTACTCGCTCAGGTCCTCTCATGTGGTTAGTTGTGGCCTGAAAATGAAATCTCCAAATGAATAGGAAGGGAGGAAATTGCTCTTGCTGTGGAAGGTGGAAGGAAATGTGGGTGCATTTTTAAAATGGAACTTGGTTCATGGTTTTTGCTCTGGAGTCATCCAGCCCTGTCGTGGCTGCCTCTTACCAGTGACACTCAGCAGCTCTTCATGACCCCGGGAAGTTGCGTCACAGGGACAAGACCTGGTCCCAGGCTCCCTGTGCTGCCTCCTGGCCAGCTAAGTAGTAGCCACTGAAGTGACATCTTCTCACTCCCTTCACGTTTAAAGTAAAAATGGCAGCACTGCCACGGGAATACACATACGCATTTGTGTAAACTGTTAAACATTGTTCAGATCTGAGTGTTCATTATATATGTGGGTATGTCTGTCCATTTTTATCTGAATAGTCATAATTTGATGGGCCTTTTTTATTTTTTATTTTTTGAGAGAGTCTTTGGTTTGCTCTCTCTGTCTTAGATCTGTGCTTCTCAAACTGCGGTGCCCGTAAGCATGACTTGAGGGTATTGTGTTAAAGTGCAGATTCTGATTTTGTAGATCTGGGATTGTGTGTTTCTGATGGGCTCCCAGGTGATAAGGGTGCTCCCAGCCCATGGGCCAAATTTGGAATGACAACATTCTGGAATACACAGATTACAAATAAAGGGAAATCCTCAACAGGTATGCTTCTATCTGACAAATAAGTCATTACATTAGGGTCACATCTTACCATGTAGTGTGATCTTGGAAAGTTGGGCGGTGATAAAGCTAGACGTTTCTAGAGTGAGTAGCAAACTGCCTTCCATAGGTACCATTTAAAAATGCTGATTACTCCCTGAGGATAAGAGAAGCCTAATTTCAGAATATCATTAGCGTAGCTATTGAAGTCTTGACTGCACCTATTTAGGCGTACTCCCTGGGAGTTATATGTTAAGGACATTTTTCTATTAAATCATTGCATGTGGAAGAAACTCAATATAATAGCTGATATTTACTTGGGTTCTTAATCAGAACATTGGGTGTGTGATTTTCATGATTATGATTTTCATTGCAATTAAGTTGATGTTTTGTAGACAGTGAAATTACCATCTACTCCAAAAGATTGCAAAATAGAATTTAACCTTAGAGCCAGTACAGGGAAAACTTGTTTCCGCAGGTGCATTTTTGAAACTTCCCCCAGAGAGCAGGGGGAAAAAGTGACAGAAGGATCATCGCTAAGCAGTATGCATTGTCTAGCTGGTCACCTTGCAGTCTGGGTTGCAGGCATCGAGTTTTTGGTGTGCCTGTCACCTTTTTCCTTTTTTTTTTTGTAGGCATGCCACCAGGCCTGCAGGGGCAGAGTGTCTCTTCTGGCAGCTCTGAGATCAAATCCGACGACGAGGGCGATGAGAATCTGCAAGACACGAAGTCTTCGGAGGACAAGAAATTAGACGATGACAAGAAGGATATCAAATCCATTACTAGGTCAAGATCTAGGTAACAGTATATAATACTGTCGCTTCATTTAATTCCTTTATTGGACTTTGATGAAGTGAACAGAACAGGAAGAAACTATTCAGTTTTTTCCTGGCAGGTAAATCTACAACTGAAAAGAAAAGGAAAGGCCTACCCTAGAAGTACTAGAAGTATCACTTAAGATACCTGTACTCTAGTGAAGCCTACGATGCCTTTGCATTTATGAATTTGGACCCAATGCTAATTGCACACAGTAAAGAACAATTGATAGCGGATTCGAGTGCAAACAGTTGGCTTTTAAAACTATACTTTCTCTAAAATTTGGTCAGAAATGTGTTTTCTAAAATACTTCCAAAAGAGATTGTAGCCATGTTAAAATCTCAGTTGATATATGTGCAACACTAACTTTTTCCTTGCCTCTAAAGTGAGAAAGTAAGTGATTTCCTAGCTTTATTCTAAACATATTGGTGTATGTAAGAGCAATACCTAAGTTGCTGGATTTTTCCGGATACTCCTTTCTACAGAAAACACAACTGCAGGAAAATAGCTTCTGGTTCGTTTTCTTAAAGGGCCTGTCTTTACATTAGAATCTATCTCCTTGAACTTTAATCCGGTCGTCAGATGGTTTTTGAAAGCCATGACACCCATGTACTTGGCCTTCATTCCCTTGGGTTGTTTTTATTTGCAAATTAAACCAGTTGTACTAAGACTACAATTTCCCTTTTAAAGGCTGTGGTTCTCAAGGATCGATAGAGTATCTTTTGTTAATTAAAAACATGCTGCCTTTTCACAGTGCCTTTATGATTATTGAGTTAAATTGCATGTGCTGCCACACGTTCAAAAAATGCTCAATGCTTCTAGCTAACCCTTTGCACCCTTGTGGTGGCAGTTTTCTGATTCACGGCCACATTGACAAGAAATCCCAAAGAGAGGATTTCATATCCTTAACAGCTTCACTGTTTGTCCAGTTGGTTCTTGGGAAGTTTACTCATGGCCATAACTTATGCATATTAATGGATTCTTTGAAGTTTCAAAACAGCATTGTAACTTACTGTTAAGAACCTTCTCATTTTAAAAGGTCACTCCTGTGACTTTTACTTATGTGCGCCTCCAATACTGTTGCTGGAAGGCAGTGTTTTTCACATCTAGGCAGCTTTATTTGCATAGCCAATTTATTTATAAGTGAATAACCAACTGTAATTAGTCATTAGCCTGAAAATCTTTGGAAAACAAGTTCACATTTCCAAGTTCCCTTTGTGTAAAGGCATAGCACATGCTTAATGCATAAAAATATTACCCCAATTTTTAGCTTCGGGACAGGCCCAGCAGAGACGTGACTCTGCACCCTTCTGCTTATGCCAGCCTGTTTGCAAAGTGGAATATAGGAGTGAGTTCATAGGGGCCTTTCAGCAGCAGACATGGGTGAAGAGGGAAGCCACGGTCATTGATAAGCAGTAGGTGTTTGAGTTTTGTATTGTTTTGCGTTACTGATGTCAACTCAGATTTCCCCAACTTGTTCTGGGGATCATAAGCATCCGTAGCATTAAGGACCATAGATGTCTTGTTTTTCTCACCTTTCACGTCATGCTTAGAGGAACTGAGACTCGGGGTAAGTGAACAAGTGAGAAGGATCAGGAAGCAGAGAAAGAACACCTCTTCCAGTGGATCCAGTTGAGTTAGTGCTCACGTCTGTGGCAGATCATGCTTCCGCAGAAGCATTGAAACTGGGGAGAGGCGCCTACCTAGTCTCACAGCATCTTTCCGTAATGTCTTTCTTCTCCCCAACTCCTCCACTTCGCCCAAGTGGTGTTGGCCTGCAGACATCAACTTCATGTGCGACGTGTACCTGCAACCCAAAAATACCACTCCCATTTTTGATGGATGGGCATTTCTCAAGTGTGGTTGGTTTTTGTTGCCATTTGGGAGTTACCCAGAGAATCTCTGGAATGGAAGAGGAAGGGCATACATTTTAAGTCAACCTTCATGAAGGGTACATTGGATTGAGTAGGTAATGTCTCACGTCTTCCAGCTCTGAAATTTTGTCATTAATCATGTTTATTTTGTGGACATTTCAGATATGTGAAGTCAAGGTTAAACACATTTCAGATGTACGAAGTAGAAATTAACCTTCTTGGCCCTATAGATGAGCTTTTTCCTCTCTAGGCTAATGGTTACTGATAGTCACCTCAATATTGTTTCTATAGGGAATCTGTTACTTTTTGGTGAGGTTTGCTTCATTTTGTTAATGACCCTCCTACTCCCTTCCCCTAAAATGTCCTGGCTTGTGTTTACTCACAATAGCCATTGAGCTCTTCGTTCCGTTCTGCCTTGTTGAGACAAGACATGTTGCACACCTCTCTTTTTTAGATGGTAGCCCTTGAAATATTTGAAACCTTGCTGCCATGAAAACTTCCGCATCTGGTCTGATTCCAGATGGCTCATTGTCCTGTCTGCCTTCCATTCAGAACTTTCTCGTCTGCCGCTGTGGCATCCAAAAGTAGACCTGGTCTTCTCTTCCCATACCATACTGGGTCTTTCCATGCCTTTGTTGCGAATCATAGAATATTTTGTTTCTCACCGTCGGAAGTTAACTTTTGGCTTCATTTTTTACTTGCGATGAGGTCACGGTCATTGATAAGCAGTAGGTGTTTGGGTTTTGTATTGTTTTGCGTTACTGATGTCAGTTCAGGTTTCCCCAACTTGTTCTGGGGATCATAAACACGCGTAGCATTAAGGACCAGGGATGTCTTGTTGTTTTCACCTTTCACGTCATGCTTAGAGGAACTAAGACTCGGGGTAAGTAAACTGACCAGCCCTTCAAAGCAGGGGAATGGTGATGCCTGGATCAAAGCCCTGCTGTCTCACTCCCGTGGCCCAGGTGTCTTCAGCATAGGACTTTCTTCTCACTCCTGTTCAGCTGTTTTGTGTTTATTCAGACCTTTCAAAGTCTGTGTTCCGTCCCTTATATGAAAGTTTTTCTTTAAAAAGATGAAGCATCCGCCGCCCTTTTGAAACGCGATTATGCAGCCGTTGGGGAAGGTCTGCTTTGCGGAGCGTAGCCAAACACCGGAGCTTCGTTTCCCTTGTCCATCAGTCTGGGCGCGCCCTGGCCCCTGACTCTGACCTCGATTGTCCTCATCGGTTTGGTTTGGCTTAATGTCTCCGAGGAACCGAGTGTCCCGTGCGTTGTAGACTATCGCAGTCAACTGAACCAGTCCCAGGTGGACGTAAAAGTCTCGGCCAAGGACGTGGCCTGAGACGGAAACGTGCCCTGGAGACGCCAGGAGAAAGCAGAGTACCTCGGACGCCGGCCCTGCCCTCACACCATTAGGAAATGTCGCCTCCCCTTTGTCCCGCAGCAATAACGACGACGAGGACCTGACGCCGGAGCAGAAGGCCGAGCGCGAGAAGGAGCGGAGGATGGCCAACAACGCCCGCGAGCGCCTGCGGGTCCGCGACATCAACGAGGCGTTCAAGGAGCTCGGCCGCATGGTGCAGCTGCACCTGAAGAGCGACAAGCCCCAGACCAAGCTCCTGATCCTGCACCAGGCCGTGGCCGTGATCCTCAGCCTGGAGCAGCAAGTGCGAGGTCAGGGCGCCGCCTCCTCCCCCGAGAGCCTGGGTAGCGGCGGCAGGCGGGGGTGAGGGGCAGGCGGGGGTGAAGGGACGCCGGCCGAGAGGAGCTTTGCTGTTGGCGGGTGTGTGCGTCGGCTTTCTCCGCTCAAGATGCGGGGTGCCCTTTGGGGTGAGGTGTGCAGGCCGTCGCGCAGGTAGAGTGTAGGCCTCCCTTCGGCCCAGCTTTGCCTGTCTTGGGATCGGGCAGCCCTCACGGATGTTGTGCTCCCTACTCCCCGCCCCCACCCCACCCACCCTGCCAGTATCCCGCTCCCGCCAGTCCCTTTCTTGGAGTATGATGGTCAGTGTTCAGCATCTGCTCGTGAGTGACAACATGCGGTACTCTGTTCTTTGTTCCTGGGATAGGTCGCTGAGCAGGATAGACCCCGAATCCGTCCAAGTGGCCGTGAAGTCCATCTGTTTGTCCTTGATGGCCGCGTAGAGTTTTAAGCATCATTCCCCACAAGCGTGCCCACCGTGGGCTGTGTCTCCACCTGTCAGGCAGCGTCCCTTCTCCTGTAATTAAGTGACAGGATTCTCGTAACTGAAGTGACTTCGCGCGGGTGCTTCGGTCACGGGAGCCAAGACTGCTTCCCCAGCCCTTGGGACATGTCCAGCGGCCACCCACCTTCCCCACACGGCTCAGTCTTCCACTGGAGACTGACCAGATGAGCCGCCACAGGACACACTTGCGGGCAGCCCGCTCCTGCTGTTCTGTAGAGAGGGAGGAAGGGGCGCGCGCTGGCCGAGGAGTCGTGGTTTCTGCGCCATCAGAGCCCTGGCCTGACTCAGCGCCCTGTTCTTTCACGCCCCGCAGAAAGGAACCTGAATCCGAAAGCTGCGTGTCTGAAAAGAAGGGAGGAGGAGAAGGTGTCCTCGGAGCCTCCCCCGCTCTCACTGGCCGGCCCGCACCCCGGAATGGGAGACGCCTCGAATCACATGGGACAGATGTGAAAGGGCAAGTTTGTTTCAGCTGTTTCCAAAACCATTCGCTCGGGACTCTCGCCCGTGTGCCAGCCTTTGCGCAAGTCCATTTTTGCCCGAATTAACAGACATCTTTCTGTCTTCGAAAAAGAGTTAAAACACACACACGCCCGCACTCTTGCTCTGTTATACATGTATTGATTACTTTTTCTCTCTTTTTCCGTTCTCAGGTCCAAGTTGCCACATTGCTTCATTCAAACAAGAGACCACTTCCTTAACAGCTGTATTATCTTAAACCCACATAAACACTTCTCCTTAACCCCCTTTTTTGTAATATAAGACAAGTCTGAGTAGTTACGAATCGCAGACGCAAGAGGTTTCAGCATTCCCAACGATCAAAAACCCGAAAAACAAACAAAAAAAAAGGAAAGAAAAAAGTGCAACTGGAGGGACGACCTTCTTTAACATATCATTCAGAATGTGCAAAGCAGTATGTACAGGCTGAGACGCAGCCCAGAGACTGAACGGCAATCTTTCCACGCTGTGGAACAATGCATTTGTGCCTAAACTTCTTTTGGAAAAAAAAAATATAATTAATTTGTAAGTCTGAAAAAAAAATATTTAATTTAAAAATTGTAAACTTGCAATAATGAAAAAGTGTACTTCTGAAGAAAACTACATGAACGTTTTTGTTGGTATTCAAGTCAGCTTAGTGTTTCTAATTACTGGATCTTGAATAGGGGAAGCTCAGCTGCCCTAGTAACAAAACCAGCAAACGTCCTGATGACAACGAAGTGATGACATTAGCCATTCCTTAGGGTAGGAGGAACAGATGGATCTTATAGACCTATGACAAATATATATATAAATATATATATAAATATATATTAAAAATTTAGTGACTATGGTAAGCTTTTGTTCATTTGTTTCAGACTTTTTTCTCCTGTAAAAAAATAGTACTGATTAACTTTTTTAAAAGAAAGATTTTACTGTAAATATGGATTTTTTTTTCTTTTTTTCTTTTCTTTTCTTTTTTTTTTCCTTTGGTCTTATTTCTGTCCCTTCCCCCCCGGTTTGTTATCGTAACCTGTAGTGCCAACTCTGCTTCCGGAGGGGTGGTGCAGGATGAAATGCTGACCCGATGTTGCTTCTCATTCATAAATAAGTAGAAAGTTGTTTCTCCAGTCTTTTGGGAACACAGGACTTAAAAGTCACATCATGTGTAGATATTACAAGCAGCATTACCAAGACATGGCAAAAGGAGTTTGTCTGAATGTAATGTTGCATTTGTGACCCTATTCTGGGATTTTCAGAGGTACAAGGTTAGAATGCTACAATGTTACCACTGTGCCTTCCAATGTTTATATCATCGGAAACATAACATAATCAAAGTGGCTGTGATTTAACAAAACAATTAAAGTGTTACCTACCTGTGTAGCCGAAGTAGTGTGCAGTGAGGCGTTTCTGAATACATGGTCAGATTTTTGGAAAAAAACAAAAACAAAAAAAACAAAGTTCAAAAACCGTCAAATGAGAAAATCGCAAGTAGTGTGACAGAGCTGATTGATTTTGTTGCTTTCTTGATTTTTTTTTTTCAAAATGGGTTTACTAAAATGTAGATGACTTAAACTGCCTCCTCGTCTGAAAAATGCCAATATTCAATCATCATGCAGCATTATAACAAGCCTTATAAGTCCTAAAGCATTAAGTTGCACTTTTTTGAGGAGGGGTAGTGCAGTATTTTTCTGGCCAGTATGAATGAAGTTTATACTTACCATATTTGATAGAAACATAGATCAAGCTATGGCACAGCGACTCATCAGATAGCTAGCTTTGACGTCTGGGCACAATCGAACCAACTTCCATCGTGAATCTTTATAATGATTGACTTTGGTGTATAGTGCAGTAAACAAATAGTGCTCCTAGTTAAGTATTTGTCAGCATCCTTTTGTCTCTAACTCGTTTCTATTTTTACAGCCACACAATCTTGGCATGTATTAAGAAAAAAAATCCCTGTTCAAGTAGTTTTTCCACCTATCAGCACTGAGTAAATGCCATAAATCCATTGAAATGGTCTAAATGTTCCATCTGTTCTCCTGTTTTGCCAGTTACATAGTAATGAAATACATTTGTAAATTTTATGCAACAAATGGCAAACGTATCATTATTTTGAAATTGTGTATGTAAAAGTTATATTTTTACATGTAGACTCTTGTTATTATGTGTTTTAATACATTGTATCAGTTTTCGTTTTTTTAAACTGTGTGGTTTAAAAAAAATCTCATTTAAATGAAATAGTGAGCTACAAGAATCTGAATTTTATGTTCATTTCTGAAAATGTAAGAACAAATAAGATAGTTACCACGTGGTCATCTTTTACAAACCCATAAACATTTTGATTAGCTGTGTGTGTGTTGAAAACTGTAAATATGTTCAGTAGCGATAAAACTAAAATACTTTGATTTGTTGATAAGTTCCTAAAATGTGGAGGTGGATTAAAACCTTAGGCGAATAGCAGAAATCAAACTTCACGACGAGTTATTTTGGGGCTTTCCTGTGACACGTATGAACAAAGGGGCTCAGAGAAGGGCATGAAAGACAATAATGTATACTCTCCCCTCCTCCCTGAACAATGAGAACCATGTGTGCTTGTTCCCTCAGTTGTTAAGGATTTCCTTGTAGTGGTACATTCTGCACTCATTTTGTATAGTCTACCAAGGCGGGTATCCCTAGGAATGATATTATATCGGAAGCAGGTATACTCTGATCACATTCAGGATAAAATGTATAGAAGGAAATACGGTGTTTACTCTTTAGGGAACTGGAAACTCCCTGCATCGATGTACATTTTCAGAATGGCACTTTTGATACGTGTTATCATAAAGGTGCTTTATAGAGCTGAATTAAAGTTTTTCAAATCTGTAAACAAAGCAAAAAATTAAATTGTAGTCATTTGATTCTTTTTTAAATTGGTGCTTTATATTTTGTTCTCACTCCAGCAGAGTAAAAGCTGCAATTTATTGTTCACCAGCTTTGATGTATTCATTACTCAGTAATGTAATACCTCTATTGTTGAATTCCCTTTGGAAGTAAGCAAAAAGCTTTCTGACAGCCACCAAAAGCTGCTTGCTACATTTTGCTCGGTGGAGAAACATGATCTGCACCTATCCGTATTCATTGGGTTGTATCCCCATTAAAAAAAGAAAAAAGGGAATGTGGCCTTTTAGTGTGTTTTTTCTTGTTGTTGTTTTGTAATTATCAAACCCAGGTAAGATATTGGTATCCTGCACTGGATTTTCAAATGAAACTTAACAGAAGACAGGATGAAAGTGCTATACAAAAATGTCATAAGGGTCCATGCTACACTAGGTAGGTAGGTGGGTAGCTAATACTTAGACTGGGGATCTCTTTAAGAAACTTGGACTTTAAAAGCAACTTGGAACAGTTGATCCACCTCCACATTCAAGTAATTTATGAATATGCAGATTAGGTCCGTTCATCTAGAAATTTTTACCATTTGTCTTCTGTGTAGCTGCAAGGAACACTAATGTTTATACAACTGTCAGTCCACCCAGTGGTGCAACTGGTTCTGATTCAGTCTTCCGATTCTTTTTTATTTTTCACTTTTTCCTATTTCTTGATTTTTTTTTTTTAAATTTGTGATCTTGGTTTTGATGAGGGGTTGGGGAGTGGGGAGGGAGTTGAACCAAGACTTGGGGTTAAGAGGATTTTCACCTTTGCATCCTACAGGCAGAATATGATCTGTGTCCAAAAGTGAACTTGAGTCAGGAATGGAACAATTTCAGCATAAACAAGCACAAAAATTTAGTCTGCTGGCTGACTGGAAGCAAAAAAGTCAAGATGGAATATGATGAATTCCAACACAATGGGGCACCAGGGCCATGCGGCCTCTCTTTTTATTTTGCGTTGGTTTTGTTTGTTTTTCTTTAGAGACACGCTCTTTCTCATGGGACTTGAAGTGGACTCATCTTTGTGCAGTGCTGGTTTTGCCATACTCATTTCAAGTATTATAGACATATGTAATGGTGACAATATATGAACTGTGGCCTTTTTCATTCTTGTTACTTGTGATGCAATTAAGTGAAGATAAGAAAAAAAAAAAAGCAGAGATTTACCATGTATCAGTGCCTGGCTTTTTGTTATAAAGCTTTGTTTGTCTAGTGCTCTTTTTGCTATAAAATAGACTGTAGTACACCCTAGTAGGAAAAAAAAACTAAATTTAAAAATAAAAAATATATTTGGCTTATTTTTCGCAGGAGCAATCCTTTTATACCATGAATATTACAAAAAAAATTGTCAAGATTCTGAATATTTCTTCTTTGTAGATTTTTGGAATCATTATGAGTAAAAGTTTGTTACTTTATTTTACTATTTAAAAGATGTTATTTTACCATGTGTTACCAAGATGAAACTGTATGGTAGCTTTTTTTGTTTGTTTTTTTGTTTTTGTTTTTGTTTTTTTTGGTTTCTGTTTTTAGTTGTAGGTCGCAGCGGGGAAATTTTTTGCGACTGTACACATAGCTGCAGCATTAAAAAAAAATCTTTAAAAAATTGTTAAAAAAAGAAAAAAAGGGAAAACATTAAAAAAAAAAGATGAACAGTTACACCTTGTTTTCAATGTGTGGCTGAGTGCCTCGATTTTTTCATGTTTTTGGTGTATTTCTGATTTGTAGAAGTGTCCAAACAGGTTGTGTGCTGGAGTTCCTTCAAGACAAAAACAAACCCAGCTTGGTCTAGGCCATTACCTGTTTCCCATCTGTAGTTATTCGATGAAGTCATGTACATGACCGTTCTGTAGCAATAAATGTGCCATTTTTATAAACTGTTTCTGACACTTGTTTCATTTCATTTTGCATTGTCCATATAGTTACAATTCTCTTCTGTAAGGAAAACATCTATATTTCATTTTCCAAGTGTTGGGGGTATTGACAGCTTAACAAAACATGTCCCCCAAAAACTCACAAAAACAAATTGAAAAAGCACATGATCGATCAAGGAAGAGATGCCCTTAATGAAAATGGAACGGGATGCATGTGAAACAAAAAACTGTCTAACTGATTAATTGAAGGAATATGAAGCTGGGCCATGTGAAGAGCTCCAGACTGCACCAGTGTGTTCGGTCATGCTGCAGGTTGCTAAGTCAAGTCAGCCTTGACTTGCATCAGTTGGTCGGCTGTCTGGCAGAACATTCTCAGCTAGATCTTTTCAGTCAAGATCTAAGATGATTCCTTTTGTATCCCTTTGTTGAAAGCTGAATGTTGTCAACCACAGTTAATATGGACACTGTATTTACACTCTCTCTAACCATACCCACCCACCCCTTCTGGTTGCCTCTGTTGACTGTCCATCCAGATGTAAACAACCAGATGTTTTTTCCTAACTTGTACAAACTGACTTGTGTCACTTATGGGAGGAAAAAAAAATGTACAGAGTAAAATTTTATTCAGTGTTATGTACTGGAAGTTAATATTTTTGTAGAATGGGCATCAATCTGCTTTGGGGAACTTGGAGGCTGTTTCGACATTGCACTGTAGTGCTGTGAAGTAATGTTCACAATGTAAAGGCAAGCCCGTGGTAGATGAGCCCTTCCTAACGGTGTTCTAATTGAGTATGTGGTCTTTGGGATGGCTCCGATATTGCTCTTGTATTCTTTCTAAAGGGGTTTATTGACTAGTTTACCTGAAGGAAAATGTTCAGTTCACATGGGAAGTGCCCTCCATTGCCAAATGTTGAGAATTTTTTTCTTTTTGGTTGGACTGTTTGCAGATATTTAAATTTTATGAAATTTCCGAAGATTTTGGTTGATAAACGCCCCCTTTACCTTCTAAATGATTTGAGATGTTCTTTTGTTCTTATTGTGTGTTCTAAATATACATAAAAGCCACAAGCATTTAGTCTTTTAGTATTATATTTGATCATATAACTACTAAAAAGGGAGCAATGAACCTATACCCTACCATGACTTTTATATAGTCTAGTAACATTGTTTTACTGTAAAGGGCTACATGATAAGGTACATTAAATGTAGACTTTGGTTCATTTTCAAAGGGAAGTTAAGTTGGTGGAGAAACCAAAATATCCAAAAGTTAAAATTCTAATCATGTTAGAAATGAAGAAGGGAAGAACATCCAAAAATAAAAAGTGGGAAACTATTTTTAGTCTTATAATTGGGTCCGCTCATATAAAACCAAGTAAAATTTGTCTTCTCAGCTTCAATTCTAGACTACCTTTCTCTTGACAAACAGCCTAGGAAAGTTCATGTTTAAGCCTCTTTAAGGGAGGTGTTAAGAACAGCAAAGGACTAGAGTACTTGACTTCAAACCACCCCCCAGGGTCATGCACTTAAATTGCACGTGGGACCTTTTGTGGAGTTCTTGTTTCAAAAACCTTCCCGTTCAAATGGCCACAAAGAAACACAGCCAGGTTTGAAATGACTAGAAGGGCAAGAAGAGCCAGAGGCATCTTGGTGTTCCTGAAAGATCGTTTGAGTCGAGAAGGTAGGGACAAAGCCCCCTCCGGTGACAAGTCCACAAGTCTTCAGGAAGGAGGCTTAGTGCACAACTGGGAGACAGCGCTAGTTACAAACGTGTGCACTGAGCTGCCGCCCTGGAGAGGCGCTGGGTGCCGTGGGGTCAAAACAAATCAGCCAGGCAGCCCATAGCTGGGTCTGTGTTTAAAGTGTTAGACATTAAGATGATGGCTCTTCACCCAACAGAACAGGTATCTCACGGTTTAGTCTTTTTGCCATGGAAGGGTGTGTATCTAAAGCAGTGTTTCTTACATGTTTTGAGTTGTGGATGCTTTGATGATGAGACAAACTACACAGAAAAAGCACATGTATATGAGCACATTTCGCTTTTAAGGGGTTGACAAATCTCAAGAGTCTAAGAATGCATTCTTGTTCATGGGTCAACTTAAGAAAATCTGGTGTCAGGCCATGAACTCTTCAGTGCTTGAAAAGGGAGTAGAACCAGTCTCATCTGCGTTGGTTGAGATGGCTGAGCCTAACCAGAACCGGCCTGGTGTCTGGCTTTTAAAGAAAGACCCTTTGTGTAACACAGAAAAGAGTATGGTCCTCGTTCCCATCTGTTACACTATATTTAGAAGTCAAATGGCTTTAGCGTTGGCATGAATGTTCTAAGAGGAAGCCGAAACTTGCCAAGTGCAAGTGAAAATGCTCGTGTGGAATCAGACTTGCTGCCTTGAGGTTTTTTTGCCGCAACCAGCCCATGGGTGGGGAACTCTTGTTCTTGAGCAAAGGCATGACAAAATTCCGAAGAAGAGGAAAACTTGATTTTTGTAAGGAATTTTACATATCTTTATTTGTGAGTAGTGGTGAGGTCCTTTCAGGGATGGGAAATGAAGACAAAGTGATGTTCTCAAATTTTGGGAGCTAAAACAAGCAACAGGAATCCGAACTTGGAGCCCAGGGTCACCGCACTGACTGCACTGACCCACCTCTTAAATGACAACTTGGCTTGCACCATCCTGTGATTCCTCTCCACCAGCTGCATACAGTCCCGGGTTTTATTTGTTTTGCTGTCCCTTTTTTGCTGCCTGTTCATGCAATTTTTAAGTGAGAGTTTCTGAGCTTCCTGCAGTTCTCATTTTTCAGCTTTATTCTACAAATTATTGTGGTATGACTAAATATGAGAATATTCATGCACCAAGAGACTGCTAGCCAAACACAAATTTTCCTTCTGATCCATCCACTTTCTCAAAAAATAAACTTTGTCCTTTGGAATCATTTTAGATGCATAGGACAGTCGCAAAGATAACAGGTAACATTCGCACGTTCTCTTCCCTAGCTTCCCCTAAAGGTAAAATGTTGCATCACCACTGTACGTTTGTCAAAATGAATGCATTAACATTGGTGCTTTCTTTGAACTTCACCAGATTTTTCACTCATAACTGTGTTCCAGGATCCAATCTAGACTTTCCCATTGCCATGATTTGGCCCACTTAGGTTGTGAGTGCTACCAGCTGAAGTCTGCACAGCACCCGCCCACCATCTCAGGTGGTACCACGTCATATCCACACCCCGCTAACTAAACTACAACAGAAAGTCAATGGGCTTGCCTTTTACAATTCCTCCATTTATTGTCCTCTCAAAACCCATCACTCTTTGATAGAAAGCACCAAAGCTATAAGGAGAAGACACACAGCACCCAAAACCTGAACGGTTAATCACACTGCTCAAAGGCAAGTGTCCCTACCTTGAAGGCCAGTTGGAAGAGAACAGAGTCATCTATATGACCAACAATAATTCCTGAAGGTGGGTGCAAGCCATGCTGGGGAGTAGTGGAGAGAGGGACTAGGTAGGGTGCTTCCAGAGAAGACAGGGAAGCGCCTTGTCAAAGTGACCCTCGGGCATGAGACATCTTTTTTTTTTTTTGAGTCGGAGTCTCACTCCGTCGCCCAGACTGGAGTCAGTGGCCGCTCCCGGCCACCGCAGCCTCGACCTGCTGGGCTCCGGCGATCCTTCTGCCTCAGCCTTCCGAGTAACCGGAATTACAGGCATGCGCTACCACGCCCGGCTGATTTTTTTTTATTTATTTATCATAGAGATGAGGTCTCGCTGCCCAGGCGGGTCTCGAACCCGCGGGCTCAGGCAATCCACCCACCTCGGCCTCCCAAAGGCGCGGGATTCCAGGCTGAGCCACCCAGCCGGTCTTGACGCATCTTTTGACAGAGCAGATAAGTGGGTGGGCCAGAGGGAAAATTTGAGTTTGGTTAGCAGTCTCTTGTGTAAACATTCCCACATCTGGTTATATCATGCAGAATAAGGTTGAAAATGGGAACTGAAAGGAAGTTTAGAAACTCCTATAAAAAAAAAATCCATGAAAACGCGGCAGAGGAAAGTCAAAGCCAAACAGCAAAAACTGAGACTGGATGCAGCAGGTGGGGGAGGCGGAAGGGGAAGTCAAGAGGTCATTCGAGAAGTGGGTCAGTGCAGTCAAGGAGTAGACTCGTAGGAAGGCCCGTGACGGTGGCTTCCATGGCGATAGTGCGTTTTTCTCACCTTCACCTTCCTGTCGCCCCAACAACAGCACCTGGAAGCCGCGCCCGGCTTTTGGGTCTTCAGGAGGACTCGAGGCCCACATGTGCAGAGCCCCGAGGCCGGGGAGGGATGGAGGCGTCTGGTCCTCTCGTGGATGCCCCGAGGATCTGAAGGAGAATCGAGGCCGGCTCGTGTTTTCCAGGGAAGGCCAGGGAGGCCCTGAGAGCTCGGCTGGGTCTGCGCAGTCCCCTCGGCTTACGGTCTCCAAAGGGGCCTCTCGTTGCCGGACGGCTCGTGTCCTTTGCACCGCACCCTTGTGTCACCAAGAGGACGCTTTTGCTCTCCGAAGTCCATACAAAGGCGTGTGTGAGAGCGACTGAAACCCAAGAAGTGGCGAGGCCACTGGTGGTGAGAAGGACGCGGAGCTAGGCCGTGGGGGCGACAGCCAGGGTGAGGGAGGACCAGGATTCACAGTGGAAGTCTCCAGAAAGGAAGGAGCAGCTGGAGGGGGTGGAGAGGCGGCAACTGAGAGCACTCTAGGTGAGGAGGCGCGTGGGCCTCTGAGCCAGGCGTGTGTGAAGAGTGGATGGAGAGTGTGGTAAGCAGAGAACGTTCTGCGGGCCGGGCTCGGTGGCTCAGCCTGTCATCCCGCGCTTGGGGAGGCCGAGGTGAGTGGATGGCCTGAGCCCGCGGTTTCAAGACCCGCCTGGGCAACTTGGCAAGACCTCACCTCTACAATACACCAAAAATCAGCCGGGCGTGGTAGCGCGCGCTATGTAGTTCCGGCCACTCGGAAGCCTGAGGCGGAAGGCTCGCCGGAGCCCGGCAGGT